GAACAGTTCTGGCCTATAGGTCAGGGCCTTTGTAGGACAAGGGAGGATCTACAGGACTGAGCTGGAGCACCATTTTCCTAGGTCTCTACTTTAGATATTCTGTGTCTGTGTATTAAAGCGTTACATTCTATCTTAAACACATTTCCATTTTGCAACCTTGTTTTAGGGTTGAATTCTGAGAAGGACTGCTTTAGACATTACCTTATTTTCAATCATTTGGCTCTGTTAGTTTTTCCTATTATTGTGGCCCTTCCGCAAGAGCTCAGTAAAAGGTGTCACTACTTGTGGCCACAGGAGGGCAGGGCAAGTCCAAACACTGAATGTGAATGCTGATTGCAGCCTGGCTGCAGTGAACCAGTCCTTTCTTGTCCTCACCACCCAAACACTTAAGAGCCCCACTCACTCCCGTAACCTTCCTGTTTCATACTGTCAGTGGGACCGGCTCATTCAGTGCCCGGTGCCCTGCTCGCCAGTCAAAGTGGGAGCTGCTCTTCAACATCTGAGAAGTGACAAGTTTCTTCCCCATTCCTCAGATTTAGCACATTGCCTTTTTTTTTTTTAAGATTTTATTTATTTATTTATGAGAGAGAGAGAGGGAGGGAGAGAGAGCACAAGGGGGGGAGGGGCAGAGGGCAAAGCAGACTCCCTGCGGAGCAGGGAGCCCGATGCAGAACTGGATCCCAGGACCCTCGGATCATGACCTGAGCAGAGGGCAGACACTTAATCAACTGAGCCACCCAGGTGCCCAGTTTAGCACATCTCATTGTATTTGTGAGGAACACAATTCTCTGCCTTTGGTGTTCTTACATATGTCAGTGGTGGGGAGAAAACAGTCACCAAGGGAAATGATGGGGAGGAAAGTTTAAAAAAAAGGAAAGCATATTCTTATCCTGTAAGAGCAAATCATTTTGTTGATGAGAGAAAAGGGGAAAAAATGCCATTTGTTGGACCTAGGCATGCCATTCATAGATAATCATCTCACATCTTATGCCTCATATAACTATGAAATAGGTTGTACTATCCCCACTTTGTCCAAAGTCATATAACCGTGCTCTTCCCATCACATCCTGCCACTTTTCATAAACTCACAGAAAGAGAAGAAAACCCTTCTGAAGAAACAGATTAGCAAGAGTAATTAGTATTGCCCAAATGAAGCCCACAGATACCCAGGAGTTGATGATTAAACCCAAATAAGCGAGGATATAATTAAGCATAACTTCCAGGACAGAGTCAGTTTGGAGTTGAGTTTTGGGGGAGGAGCGAGCCATGGATTGACAGTAATAAAAGCGCTAAGGAAGGAAGGAAGTCATGTGGCAAGGAGACTAATTCAGTTGAAGCAGAAGAGTTACAGGAAAAATAATGAGAACTGAGGAGGGGGAGCAAATGTTGAACTCAACAGGCATTTGCTAAGCTTCAGCTCTAAGCTAGCTACCGAGCTAGGGAATGGGGAATGAATGGGCATATAGGATCTCGATAGCAGAGGGTGGGGAGGAACCTTATGAACCATCACAGAAGGGAAGAGTGGGATATTTGAGGAATAATGAGTAGAACCAAATGGTACAGGGTGAGTGAGGGGAATGAAGAAAATGACCAAGGAAGGCAGTATGTGCTCTTTAGCAAAGGAGGGAACTGATGAAACCATGTTTTAGAAAAATTAACTGGTAGTAGTACATAAATACTGGAGGGGAAGGAATGGAATTGATAGGACAATTAAGATGCTTACTGCTCTGATCCAGACCTAAGGAAAAGAATGCCTGAACCAGTGACAGAGAAAATGGATAAAAAAAAAAAAATTCTCCCTCTAGTCTGTTCTGGTTTCCACATTAGTCTTTAGCTTGGCCAATGTGACTATCCCTTAGAAGCTGCTGACTCCCTTCTGAGCCTGCAAAACTGTGGACTCAAATCTGAAGCATGGAACCTCTATGGAAATTACATGAGAACTTTTGCAAAGGAAGAAGCTCTGTGGCTCTCCCAAGAACCTGTAGGTTAAGAAGTTGGAAAAAATTTCGGGAACATTGATGGGGTATCTGCAGGGAACGCTGGTATTTTCCTTCATAAAGGCACCATGTTTCAGGCTTGGTTCTTCAGCTTTGCAGGATCAGAAAGTTGATTTTTTTTTTAAAGATTTTATTTGTTTATTTGACAGAGAGATAGCGAGAGCAGGAACACAAGCAGGGGGAGTGGGAGAGGGAGAAGCAGGCCTCCCGCTGAGCAGGGAGCCCGATGCAGGGCTCGATCCCAGGACCCTGGGATCATGACCTGAGCCAAAGGCAGATGCTTAAGGCAGACACCCAGGCGCCCCCAGAAAGTTGATTTTGTCAGTAGTGTCTCAGAGATAGACTCACCTTACCAAGCTCAAGACCAAAGTATAAGTCAGAATATCTTAGACAGAGAACCATAACCACCATAACATCAAGAACAGCAGAGACTTGACAAACACATCCTGCCATCAGGACATGTCACTGAGCCAGCATGCCCTCTCCTCTGAGCCACACTTGGGTGGGCACTGCCTGGGCATTCTTCTGTTGCTCCCCTTCTCTGTGCTCCATTCCTGGCCAACCCTCTCCCCTTCTAATGGACACATTCATTCTTTGGATAAGCCAGTCTTATCCATAGGCTATAGCCAAATCTTGCTCTGGTCTGTAAACCATTCTCCTTTCTTAAGGTAACTGTTTTTCATTGGCCTCACTACTCTGTGTTGATACTGTAGTTTTAACTATCTAAGGAAGTCCTATTTTTCTATTTCCAGGTTTTTGGTGGGAGAGAACTTGCTGTGGTCTCCTTATACTGCCATGGTAGGAGTTTCTAATCTTCCACCCTTTCCCTGAGGAAAAGAAAAGAAACATTTCTCTTCTGCAAAATCTGTTGTTTGAAATCTAAACCATATTATCCTCTCCACTTTTGGAGATCCTTCGCTCAATTCCATTTCTTTCATTTTGTATCTGCCTTCTCATGCTTTAATACTGATTTTGCCTCACTGAAGTTTTGGGTTCAGTTCTTTCCGTACTTGTTACTCAAATTGAAGTCCAGGCCTCAGGCTCAGTAAAATTAAGTTACTTCTCGTTTTGCCTGTGACAAAATAAAATTCACGTTATTAAAAAGATACTTTCTCTTTACTCACGAGGAACATTTCTTGGGCAGTGACCTCATATTTATCACTGTAGTACCTAAAACATAATGTGTCAGATGACAGTTTGAGGAGGAATGATCAAGAATAATGTAGCTTTACAAACTCCGTAAGAGAAAAGAGTATCATATCATCTTTGTACCCTGTACAATATTTCATATTCTATATAGTACACAGTAAAAAATTACTGCTTGATAGAATGAATGAAATACTTGGTTAATGAATTCTCAGAACTGTTCATGGAAGATGGCAGAGTTTTAATCATACTGGTCAAAGAGAAATGCATTTGGAGCCCCTTTTCAGCCACAGAATAAGTCATTAAGTATAACATGAAGTCATCTGAGTCTCACCACAACTCCCTGTGTGGGTACCAACACGCTGGACTGAAGCCCTTTGTTCCGTTTGGAGAGTCTGGTACCTCTGCCGCCTCGTCCTCAGGAATGTCGTTCTAGAAATAAACCGGTCTTCTCCCTGGGGTCTATGAGTCATACACAGAAGTTAATTCATCAATTTTCTTAGGCTCTTTGTAAAAGTATTTCAGAGAGTCCTTCATGGTAAGGCAAAAAAAATCAGGTTCCTCTTCTGTTTCTTTCCAGCTCTTGCCTCATTTCCTCTCTCTGTGCTTCTTCTACTACCTTACATTTGGCTTTTACTGCTAACCTTTACCTGCAGACCCAGACCCCAGTGCCTGATTGAGTGTTGCCTAAAACAGGAAGTAGACCAGCAAAGCCTCATCTCCCCACATACCCAGTTCCATTCACTCAGATATGGAATCAAAGCACACTCCACTAGACCATTTCTGTCTTCCTGGCTGCTAATTACACTTGTGAGTTACAGCATGCCAATGACAAATTTGTATAATCTGTATCTGAGGTGAAGCCTGGGAGTGCACCATTTTTTTCCTTTTCCTTTTCCTTTTCCTTTTGCTTTTTATAGCAAAAGTAATAATTAAATACATTTTTACCATGAAATAAGAGCTGAAGAAGCGGTACCTGGGTGGCTCAGTTAGTTAAGCATCTGCCTTCAGCTCAGGTCATGATCCCAGGGTCCTGGGATCAAGCCCCACGTCGTCGTTGGACTCCCTGCTTAGCGGGGAGCCTGCTTCTCCCTCTCCCTTTGCCACTCCCCCTGCTTGTGCTCTCTTGATCTCTCTCAAATAAATAAATAAATAAATAAAATCTTTTAAAATAAATAAATAGCTGAAGAAGCTGAAGCTCCCCCTTGTTAACTAAGTATTTAACTTGCATTGCTGTATTATTTTTTGGCTGTTTTTGTATTCCAAAGTGTTTTTTAAATACAACAAAATTTAAACAGAAGTATGAATAATAAAAAGGAAATGTATTTTAGAACCTTGCCCTGTTTCCACTCCTGCCCACCATTAACAGTTTGATGGTAGCCTTCCAAACCTTTGTAAAATGCATTTACATACATATATATGTACTTAGGCCAAGGGTTTCATTTTTATTTTTTTTACTTTATTTTTATGTAAATGGTTCATACTATACATCTGTTCTACAACTTTATTTACTTACTGTCTCTCAGCTTTCCTTGCCAGTGCTTTTAACTTTACTTTGTTAACAGCTGTGTAATTCTCCAAAGGTTGAGTGTGCCATAATTTATTTAAACATTCCCCTATTGATGGGTATTTGAATTGCTTCCTGCTTCAGGTTTTGATTATTTGTTATTACAACAATGCTGTACTGAATATCTTTGCATATGTGTCCATGTGTACTATCTAAGAATGTCTCTAAGTTAGATATCCAGGGGATAGAATTGGCGGGTCAAAAGATGGGTACATTTAAAGTTTTACATTTTTCAAAGTTTACAATTAAAGAATTAAATACTTTACCCACTAATTCCCTTTCTTCTGCAGAGAGTTCTATCCTGGGAACTGACATTGACCTTCAGACTATAGACAATGATGTTGTTAGCATGGAGATCTTCTTCAAAGCCTGGCTACATAACAATGGAACAGACCAAGAGCATATCCATCTTCTTCTTCCTTCACGATGTTTCAGCAACATTTCCAGAGATGATTCAAGTACACACCCCCAAAAGACCTATTATATAGGCTATGATTATCCTAGTCTTGGATTAAGATTCTAGATTTGTGAGTCGTCAGAATACACAGTAGTTGAGGTTTAGAGACTGAAGGAGGCTGTGCAGTGTAAGCACAAGGAGTAAGAAAAGAACTTCTAAAAAGTAACCACAGTTAAGAAAAACTGAACCTAATTAAGCCTAGACAGCAAGGGCCAGTTAGTTTAGGAGCAAAGACTTAGATACCTCAATAATAGGGCAGCACCCAAACTAAATAAGAGCACAGTGAATCATATATTTTTCTCAAGTTTTTCATTTTGAATTGTAGTAGATATTATTGACATAACTTGAGGCATGCTGGTACCTCAAAAATTATCAACAGGGCCTGTGAGAAGGTAAAGAACAAAGATTAAACCAAGATTAAATAGAGGTCTTCTGGATAGGAAGACATCAAACTGAGGTAAACTAAAGCAACTACAGAAGCAGGCCCCACAGAGGACAACTAGTAGCCCAACTAGTAGAGGCGGGGGGAGTTCAATGAGAAATATGGGTATAGACTCCCAATCCGAAAGGGGAAGACACATGGTCGTCCTTTCTTTCTGGGGATAGCCATCAGATCTTTACCCGCTACCCCTCCCCACACCCCCATTTCAGCCTAGGGCCTTGGATGCCTTTGATGACTTACCTTGATTTCAATCTGTCTTTCCTTGGTGTGTAAATCTTCCCTGGACCTCCTTTCCACTCCTTTTGTCCAAGGCTGATGGTGCCAATTCCTCTCTGTCTCCTCTTCTGGACCACTTCATATCTATTTTTCCCCAAGCACTATGCTACCTCCTTTTCTGCCTTATCCCATTTCATCTTCACCCACCACCATGAAGCAAGTACTGTTACTATATGTCATTGAATCTAAGATGCTATCAGCTATGAGATACACCATTACTTTATATACCACGAAGAAAGAAAAGCACTGCCAATTAAACGTGACATAGTGCTTTCTATCACTTAGAAATATTATTTTATCCTTACTGAGAAGTTAAAGTAGTAAGTAAGTGTTTGGAGTGTGTGTCTGGCCAATGGCAATTGTAAGACACATATAGAGATGTTAGTATGTGGGGGGGAAAATGTGTCTTAGAATCAATTAAATACCGATATTATCTCCCTGTTTTACAAATGAGAAAACTGAGACTTAGAGAAATTAGACATTTTCCCAGGACAGCACAGAAAAATTAATAGCAGAATTTGAAGTTATGCAACTCCAGAGCCCACTCTTAACTCTTAAGATTAGAAATCTATATTTTGTACATTTGACCACACTCAGCCCAGAAAATATTCATCAAACCCAGGTCTATCTGCCTCTAGAACCCGGACCCTTACCTACTACACAACCTGCTTCATGCTGGGCAGTTGTGAACAAAGATGCTGCCTCATGCTGGGCACTTCTCTCATAAGGAGGGCTGGGGCCCTCCAAGGCCAGGAACTCCAGCAACCAGACTTTCTTCAACTGTTGTACAGCACTTTCCCATGGTATAGTTGAGAATTTCTCTACCTTTTCCCTCCCTCTTTCCATGGCTTTCAGTACCAGGGTCAGAGCCAGAATGTTTATCTCCATCTGCAATCATTTTTCAGAAATTTGCAGGTCTTCTGGGTACATGGTGGAACTTAGACCCAGATTCATCAGCTCTTCTACTAGGGAGGCCTACACTGGAATCCAGATGTTCAGGCGCAATTGGAGTGAGATCTGGGGAAAGTAGCCCTCCTCCATGGTGGGTATGACCAACTTGAGAGTTTATACAACTACAATAAAGACCATACAATAGTTATCCATTGTTTAAAAAAAAAAAAACTGCTGCATTACCACACTGGATTTCTGGAAATGTGGCTCACTATAAAAAATGAAACAAAACAAAACAGAATGCTGAGCTCTTCTACTCTAGAATCTTTTGAGGACTGCTCCTCAGATGTTCACTCTGACTCCTTAAAAGGTTCTCCACCCACTCCACCTTCTTCTGTAGCTGCCCAGGGCCCTTCCCCGCCCCCTTCTCTAGGTGCTTCCCTCAGAGGCCTCCTTCTGACAGAGTGCACAGTCAGCTTCAGATGAGTGTCTTTTCTCGTTTCGTGGGTTTGGAGTCAGCTACCTCTGCATCTTGGTTCAGGGTGGTGAGAAGCACACCTGATTCTAGACTCTAGTCCTGGTAAGACAGTTTTCTCAGCTTTGGAATACGGTCAAGATTATGGTGCCAGTAGTTCTCAGCCCTGGCTGCAGTAAGAATCACATTTTTAAAAATACCAGTATCTTGATTCCATCTCCAGAGATCCCACTTTCACTAGTGTGAGGTAGGGCCCAGACATCAGTATCTTTTAAAAGTTTCTTAATAAAAAGGTGATTCTTATCGCAACCAGAGTTGAGAATCTCAGCCAGATGAACACAGCTCTCCAGTCCTAAAGCCCAGATATCTAACAATGGAGAAGTCAGGCACAGAGGAAATGAGGGGAGTCCTAGGCCAAGCCCCTCCTACTGACTTCCTGGGCTCTGAGACACAGCAGGCCACGACTGTCTTACCCAGAATTAACGTCTACATCTGATTGCTGGGCCCAGGAGGGCCAGATGGATCTGACCTTTAATTCTGCCATCCTATCTCTTTTTCTACATTATTTCCACTTTTGTTTTTACGTCATGTTTGTTAACAGTATTCAAACCTGGTATACATTTTATTGAAAAACTTTGTAGTGTCAAGGCTGCAAGCCTAGTGCAACAGTACATTGTACACTGTGCAATGTGAATGTACCTGCCAGAGCAGAACCTTAATATAGAAGGGCATAATACCTTGATGAATAATTCATACCTAGGTGAAGCCCCTCAGAACAGTTGTCTATTGCCACAGTGATGCTCCAGAAGGTTCTACCTTCAGGTTTCTTTGGGGAATTAAAAAATAAACCATTTCAGGAACTTATTCCTCTCCCTCCCCTGAATGTCCCTAGAAGAGCCCACAGAGAAACAGTAGCTGTCAGCTGACTCCCTGACTTCTGCTTTCCTGCTCTTCCTTCATCTGACCTATAATCTTGCCAAAGCTTAGCCAGAGGGAATCAGCAGAGGCAAGATTTCCATCTGTGATTGCAAAGGGCCTCTGCATATCATAGTGTTGGCTGTCCCCTCCAAAGAGGGCCCATGTTCCTCTCAGACTGGATCACAAGCTAGATCTCTCACTATGAGGCAACTGCTCAGCCAGCCCAGAAGTAAAATAAGTAAAAACCATATCAGATGCAGAAAATAAGTTAACTATTGTATTGAGCAACACTGTTAGGTCCAGACCTGCTCTGCCTTTCCAAATCAGTCATACTTTCCCCTTTCCCCTCCCCTGCCTCCTCCCAAGCCTTACTTGCCTGGTGGATGTGGAATGGGTAGCAGATGTTGTCTCTTAATCACATAGCCTGAGGTAACTTGTGACAGACTATCCCTCCCCCAATGCCATTTTTATTGTAGTGTGCCTGAAATGTGATCTCCAAGAGCGACTCCTCAGCCCATCCCTTCTCCCTGGCACAGCTGATGGCTCCTTGAGAATGGATGACCCCAAAGGAGACTTCAGCACACTCTACCAGATGGCCTCCCAGTCGTCAGCCTCTCGTTACAAGCTCCGGGTGATAAAGTATGGGACAAGGGAAGTTCCCCAGTCCATGCAAATGCTTATTCTTCCTGGTTCCAACTAGGAAGTCCTGAGGTAGAGGGCATCTCCAAGTATCAGGCAGGTGGGAGTCAGTTCCAAAGCAGAAACTAGTTATGGGAATGAAAAAGCAAGCTCAGGCTGCTCAGCATGTGGAGACAAATGGGCAGATGGTGGAAGATATGCCTCAGTAGGACATTCTGAAACCTGGATGAGGATTGGAAATCCAGAAAGTCTCTGAACACAAAGAAAAACAAGATCAGCAGTGTTTATCTATTCAGCAACTGTGTATTGAATACCTTACTGTGTTTAGGCCTCAGGACAGAGGTCTGACCTTCAAGGAATAAGGGGGTAGATAGGATCTACTCCTGCCTTGCCATTTCTCTAAGTACTAGAATTCTTGCTTCCAGGGGAACCAGTTCTTGGGTAAAATTAGCAATGATGGCAAAGACCACTTTTACTGCTTCCTAGTTCCTATCACAGTGCCTGTGCACAAGTATCTGAGTAAGCTTGTCCATGGGTTTGTGACAGCAGATGCTGCTGGGGAACTTTCTTAAATTTATTCTCTTCTTCTTCTTTTTTTTTAAGAGACCAAGAGTGAGTCAGGGTGGGGGTGGGGTGAGAGAGACAGAGGGAGAGAATGAATCTTAAGCAGGCTCCATGCCCAGTACGGAGCCCAACACAGGGCTCAATCTCACTACCCTGAGCTCATGACCTGAGCCAAAATCAAGAGTTGAACACTTAACTGACTGAGCCACCCAGGTGCCCCAATTCATCCTCTTCTTAAATACATCCTCTTTCAGCACTTGCCATAAGAGAACCAGGACTGGGACGCAGATGGATAGCATACTATTATGTTACATGGTTACTATAGCAGGGGTGTTCTGGAAGTATCCCCAGAAAAGTCACTTGGAATGGAATAAGCTCAGGAGAAGAAACATCCACCAGAGTCTAGATGGCTTTTCATGATGATGCTTCATTCATTGATTAACAGGCTTTGAGAATCTGCTATGTGCCAGATACTTTGCTAGGTGCTGGCCATGCTAAGGTAAATAATTCACAGGCCCTAACCCAAAGGATTTCACAATAGAGTCTTAGACATAAGCTGAATTAATCTGATCTGATGTCAAGATTCTACATATCACTGAGGAGACTTTCACTGCCATTGTCTCTTGCCAGGGCTCTAAATTCCAATGGGCTCTGCGAGTCATTGACATATGGACTGCCCTTCATCCTCAGACCCACAAGCTGTTGGCAGCTGGACTGGGATGAGCTGGAGACAAATCAGCAGAACTTCCATGCCTTGTGTCACAGCCTGCTGGTAAGTAGCCGTGTCCCCAGGTGAGGAAGTAGAAGAGTGTTAAGGCACCAACCACAGAAAAGTAGCTAGCTTAATCTTACCTTGATCCCAAACCTGTCCCAATTCTCAAGAGGACAGGAAAAAACTGGAAATACTCTGAAATGTGGATTAAATATGACTTGCCTTTGTTGGTTTCATGCTATAGAGAATACTTCCTGAACTCAGTTATATGCCAGTAAACTTGAAAATCCCTAATTTTGTACATTTAAATGGAAACAGGGTATTTTCCATAAGTAACTATATTTTAACACTTCTCTAACACTGGGCTGGACATTATGGTTTATTTAAATGAAGAACACCTAGACAGTGCCAGACATCTTGCTAAACTGTAGATAGTCAATGGTAACATGATAAACATTATCCATGGCCTCAAGAAACTTACTCTGTAATAAAAGAGACAGAAATATATATATATATATATACACTACGTATATTATATATAATTATAACTTAGAATTATATATAAATTACATAATTATAAAATGTAATTATGTATATAAATACTTAATTGTGAGAAGTTTATGAAGGAAAAGAAGAGGCTGCTGCCAGAAAGCCTCTCTGTCAAATGACATTTAAATTGAAACCTGCCAGTTTATGGGAATGGGAATTAGCCAGGTGAAGGGTGGCGGGAAGAGAATGCCTGGGAAAGGCATGTGCGAAGACCCCAAGCTTGGAAAGGGCTGAGAGAAAAATCAAGAATGGAAAGGCCATTGTGACTGAAACAGAGAAAGCAAGGGAGAGAGAGCCAAAAGGTGGGCTGGAGAAGTGAGCAGGGGTCAAATCATGCAAAGCTTTATAGGTCAAGTTAAGGACCTTGGACTTTAAGTACAAAAAGAAATCATGAGAGATGATTTGAGTTTTTAAAAGATTACTTACACCAAACATTGGAAATTAACTGGCAGAAGCAAGAATGGGAACAAGAAGATGAGGTGGGAGAGCATTGTTGTAGTCTGAGCAAGAGATGATGGTGGCGGGCACCTGGGTGGCTCAGTTGGTTAAGCGACTGCCTTCGGCTCAGGTCATGATCCTGGAGTCCCTGGATCGAGTCCCGCATCAGGCTCCCTGCTCAGCAGGGAGTCTGCTTCTCCCTCTGACCCTCCCCCCCTCTCATGTCTCTCTCTCTCAAATAAATAAATAAAAATAAATAAATTAAAAAAAAAAGAGATGATGGTGGCTTGGACTGGAATTTTGAAGTCAAGAAAAGTAAACAATTAAAGAAATATTTTAGGGGCACGTGGGTGGCTCAGTTGGTTAAGCATCAGACTCTTGGTTTCAGCTCAGGTTGTGATCTCAGGGTAATGAGATGAACCTGGCATCGGGCTCCCTGCTCAGTGGGCAGTCTGCTTGAGTTTCTTTCTGCCTTCTTCTCCTGCCCCCTCTGCTCCTCCCCCTCTGCTCCTTCCCCTGCTCCTATGCTCTCTCACTCTCTCTCAAATAAATGAATAAAACCTTTAATTTAAAAAAAGACATATTTTAGAGAGAGAGTCAGAACTTGGTGAAGGATTGGATGTAGGGAGTGAGGAAGAGGAAGGTATCAAATAACTGCTTGGTTTCTGATCCGAATATCTAAGTGGGTGCCCATTTCCTGAAATGGAAAAAAATAAAAGAGCTTAGGAACACTTAGAAAAGAGCATGAAACACTTGGAAAGCAAAATAAAACTGCAAATATAATCGAGGACAGGTCTAACTGCGAGTGGGAATAGAGGAACAGTTTGACCTAGTAGCATATGAGTGATCAGACCAGCACAGCAATGTGTCTCTTTCACTATCAGAAGTAGGCTTCTTTTTTCCTGTTTCAAAGCCCACACTCCCTTTTAGGCTCACCCACAGAGTTCCTGTTTCCTATCTGAAGAACACGCATGCCCTGTCTTTGCAGAGCAGAGACAACAGATACATCCTGACCGTCAGAGCCCAAGAGCTCAGTTGACTATTTACTCTACCCTATTCCTCAGGATCTGAGAGATGCTACATCACTCAGGAAGAATTTCCCTCAAGTGGCTTCCCTACATTCTTATAGTACATGATATTTTAAACAGACATTTGCATTTTAATACACTGCTAGAAGGAGTGTAAATTTTCTGGAAAATGATAACTACTTCAAAACTTTACTTTGATTGCTGGGAGTGTATGTAGCACAGGAAAACAATCAGCAGAGGGAGCACAGGTATATACACCAACATGCTTATCTCATTGTTCTTTACAGTGGTAAAGAATTCAAACAACCGAAATGTCCTAAACAGAGAAATGGTTAAATCAAAATAAGGGAAAGGTTATGGGAACAACAATTCAGCCAAACAATGAAATATTATGTAGCCATTAAAAATAAGGATGGGAAAGAGTATTCTATTCCCTCCTGGCTTACATATATAAATCAGACTCTTCGTGCCTCTGAATTTGACATTTGAGCATCTAATATTTATTCATTCATTCATTCATTCATTCACTCAGTCATTCATTAACAAATATATATTGAGCACTATATGCCAGCTACCATTCTAAAGGTCAAAGAGACTCTTATTTATCACTTCTCTATCATGGAAATTCACAATTTTGTGGTTGACCCATCACTAATAGATTACTCATGATTTGGAGCACTTACTAGGGGCTAGTCACTTAACCAAGTGCTTTGCATGCTTTATCTCACTTAATCCTCACAGTAATTCTGTGAGATAGGGATTGTTGTCCCCATTTTTACACATGTAGAAGACTGAAGTCTATAGAGATCAAGTGACTTCCAAAAGTCACATAGCTACCAAAGTGGCCAAGTCAGAATTTGAACCTAATTCATTGACTACAAAGCCTATGCTTTTAACTTCCTTGCTAAATTCCCTACTCGACATGTAGCCAGATAAACACAGCCTACAACCCTGATGCTGATTCTCCCCTCATTTAACACCCCAGGCTTTGTACTTCGCTGGACTTGAATTCACTTAAAGTGATGGGGTACTTGTAATAGCTCCTCACCCATCTTGTGTTACTGTTGTCTCTACTCTGTGTTTGTTCCACATCAGCAGATTAAAGAACACTCTCCTTTTCTGGAAAAGACAGAAGCAAAACAGTGTCTGAATGGCTCTTCCTTCTTTGCTTTTCACATGACATAGCCAAGCAGCAAAAATCCTAAAAGGCAGTGTGTTATAGAGGGGAGAATTCCCCACAAGCCTCTTCTGTTGCATTCAACAACAAATCTTTCTCCAGTACCTACTATGTGACAAGACCTTATTTGGAGTTTGAACCTCTCTGATCCTGTATTTACAAGTTTTCAGCACTTCTCTAACTCCTTGGTTTTCTTGTCTTTCTTACACCTTTTTTATATGTTCTTTTAGAATCTGATGTCCTCAGCTCCCTGTGTAACTCTAGTCTTCTTACTGTGATGTTTTCCCTCCAGCTAACTTCTCATTCTGACTTCTGTCTTTCTGTTAATAGCAGTGCCACCATTGTCTGCTCACCCAGGCTTGAAACCTCAGTGACCTCCAGTCTTCTTGTCCTTTACACCTACTTCATCACTAAGTCATATCAGTTTTCTTCTCATGAGTTGTAACTGTCCTTTCCTTCCTGTCCCCACTGTTTATTCTCACCAAGGCTTCTTCAGTAAACTCCTAATTAGTTTCCCTACCTCCAATCTCTCCCTCTTCTAATTTGCCCTGTTTGTTAGACCCCGTTAATCTTCCTGAAGCACTCCCCTGACTGCCACATGTTTTTCAGAGGTGCCAATACCCAGCGACGTAAGCCTTGCCTGTTCTCTCCCCATAGCATCTGCTGCATGTTTTTCTCCTCTCCATTCTTATCATCACCATCCTAGTTCAGAGTCTGTTTACCTCTTCCCTGTAATGTTGCAATAATCTCTTGTCTCAGTGCCTTTAGTGTTTCCCTTCCCAGTCCATTTTATATACTGCTACCAGTTTAATCTTCTTGAGACACAGCACTGATCCTGCCACTCTTCAGCTTAAAGATATTTTGTGGCTTATAATTGATTATACTTTAAAGTCCGTATTCCTTAGCCAGTATTCAGACTCTAGTCCATCTCCCATCATTCCCTTTCATGCACCCTAGAGTCCAGCCAAATTAATATACAAACTTTAAATTGCCACACCTTTGAACCTTTGTTCATATTGTCCCTTCTCCTCTCTCACCATATGTTCAAACCCTCCACCATCCTGAAAAACTCAGCTCAAATGGTACTTCTGCAATGAGGTCTTTCTGGATCCCTTTATTTATCATTAGACCTTTGTGTGGTCTATTTTCTTTTTAGGGAAAAGAATATTTCTATTAGTTTTTCAAATATATGATCTTATGATTTGGGTTAAAGTCTATGATATAAGTCTGACTACCCAGACTCCAGGATAACAAGATTGCCTCTTCCTGGCATTTCTACCATTTTCCCATTTTACCAACTAATTTCTTAGCCTTAGTCAAAGTTAAGTTCAGAGTAGAAATTCTCCCTTTGTTACCTCTCTTTTTGGGGAGTCAAGGCAAGGAAGCTTTCTAATCTTTTGTGGTAAAACGTAGATTGTATTGTCCATGAAAAGCATGGGCTTCGGAATCAGATGGCCCTGGTTCCTGACAGCTTCATTATTTCCCAACTGTGTGAATTCAGGTAACATATTTAACCTCTCTATGCAACAGTATATTCATTTATTTGAAACCTTAACAAACCTAGTGGCCCCATTTGGCTAATCTCTGCATAAATGGTACACAAAGAAGCACTATCCAGAGGCCAAAAAGTAATTTTAAAATTTATTTGTACTTTCAAAGTACACCAAAGAGGAAATAGTTCATAACCCACAATGACATTTCTCAAATATTCTTCCTTCACTCCTCAATTATATCTAACCAGGAGCTATTCCAAGAGACTTTCTCTCTCTCACACACAAACACACACACACACATAAAACTCTGTCTACATCACCAGTCCCTGTTCCTCTACCTTCTTCCCTCTCTCAGCTATATACGTATTCTATAGA